AAAAAAACTGTAATCTGTGACACGTTGTATTGTGGAAATTATGATATAATTGGGATTTGTTTAAGCTTCCCCTGAAATGGAAAAAAAATGGAGGGAAACAATGAAAACGAGAATAACAAAAATGAAAAAGAAAAGAAAAGAAAAAAAAAGTAAATGTAAACCTAGTTTTCGTAAAAAAAATCGTTCATTATTTACTAAAATAATATTTTATTACTTCTAATTAATGTTATCAATGTGTTATGGTCTGATTTTCTTTATTATCATTTTTATTTTTCTTATTATCAGTATCATTATTATCGTGAATAAACCTATTTTGTTTATAGAAATTTTCATCTTCTATTATGATTTATGAAAAAAGAAGAAAATTAGTCTTTCATTTTCGAGAAAAAGGAACATTTCTAAACATGACTTTTTTTTTTTCCTTTTTTTTTGTCTCTTTGATCGTTAATACATTTTCTCTCTTTCTTTTTTTTTTATCCAACACGCGTTCTTGACGAGTCTCCTCCTCCCCCCCCCCATCTCAAAAAAAGAAGAAAAAAAGAAAAGAGAAAGAAAAAAATCCCCCCCTCACCTCCCCCCCCCCCAAAAAAAAAAAAAAAAAAAAGATACATAAAGAAAACGGAAATGTTCTCAAGACGTGCATGCAACTACGGTCGATTTTCTAATTAGATCTCGCGTGACCGTCGACCTTACGGTGTCACTCAAGAGGGCTCGGAGGGAATAACTATTTCCTGATGCAAGAAACGGTATTCATGTTAATGTCTTTCCATAATACAGATTTTTCGAAAATGATAAACACGAAATAGCAGAATTGTGTCTTCCCTTCCTTAGAGAGATTTTGAATAGGTGTATGGCACTGTGGCACTGTATATGGTGTCGTATGAGGGGTTTTGGCACTGGTGTTTTGTCACTATATTTTGTTCTAAACTCGGCATGTTATAATTAGTACTGTGGCACTACCTATACGTGTGTTGCGATGTAACAGGCACAATGGCACTATGATCTTCACCATATATAACACTATAACATTATTAAAATCTATTTAGCACAATACCCCTACGAAGCTCTGCACATAACACTATTAAGCTCTATATGACCCAATACTCTTCACCATACATCACAATAACTACAACGTATACAACATTCACAACACTATATATGTACACTTTTCTATCATATCTCAAATTCTGTTAAAAGAGAGAGAGAAAAACATTGATATACGATTTTCTTCCTGTTGTTATCAGAGCTAATAACAGTGTTCAGAAACATGCTACATAACATTACCCTGCAAATAACATGAAAAATTATACGAGTTGAACAAGTAGAGAACAAGATGTAATTTTAGAACAAGCCTGTAGAACATTTTCAAGAAGAACATTTGAGAGATAACGATGATAAAAGATAGATGTTAACAGTGATAAATGGGTTTTATTTTTATTTTATTTGATCTGTTTGGTTTCATGTTTCGTTGTATGTCTGCCTCTGTAAATAGATAAATAGATAGATGAAAGAATAAATGAATAAACACGTGGATAGAGACATAGATAGAGACAAACTAATGAATAGGTCAGTTGCATGCATAAACATGCAGAATAGATAAATCAATAGAGAGAGAGAGGGGGGAGGGGGGCAGAGGCAGAGACGGAGACAGAGATAGATAGATAGATAGATAGATAGATAAATAAATAGAGATAGATAGATAGATAGAGAGAGAGAGAGAGAGAGAGAGAGAGAGAGAGAGAGAGAGAGAGAGAGAGAGAGAGAGAGAGAGATTATCAGTATTCACTCATATTCACAGGTATTCAGTTGAAGAAGTTGAAAGAAAATTAAAGAAAATGATAGAAAGAATAGATAGATAGATAGATAGATAGAGAGAGAGAGAGAGAGAGAGAGAGAGAGAGAGAGAGAGAGAGAGAGAGAAAGAGAGAGAGAGAGATAGAGATAGAGAGAGAGAGAGAGAGAGAGAGAGAGAGAGAGAGAGAGAGAGAGAGAGAGAGAGAGAGAGAGAGAGAGAGAGAGATAGAGATAGATAGATAGATAGATAGAGAGAGAGAGAGAGAGAGAGAGAGAGAGAGAGAGAGAGAGAGAGAGAGAGAGAGAAAGAGGCAGACACACAGACAGAGAGAACAAAATGGACAGAAACAGAATGATTATAAATTAAAACAAATATCACGCACGCTATTGCCATACCATCAGTCGACAATTTCCTCGCCATTCGTTTCTCTCTAATCATCGCTCAGGTAATCACTACCTTTCGTTCACGATCATCACTCACCCATCATCAAAAGCCCGTTCCGCTCACTCTCATCACTATCATCACTTTCATCACCAATTTCCCTTTTCATTAACTGTTAATAGCCTCACCAAACGAAAGGAAAAATAAATAAAAGGACATAATTAACGAGCGTATCAAAACTCACCCAAGGACGAAAGTAAATGGAAAACGGCACGTAGAATTAAGAAACGGGTGATTGAGTTGCCTAATTGCTATTAAGTACGA